ATTTTTGGCAGCCTTCACCTTAAAACTGGTTTGCAAGTAGTTCTGAATGTGATATAACAGCCTAGCAGATTCACGGACTCCCCTGGCTCATTGGCAGTCATCCTAGTCCAAACATAGAAAGTCTCAAACTAACATAACTTTCAACTTGTGGTACAAGAGAATTCCCAAAAGAAGGCAAGGGGCAAGGCACGGTGGCTCACGCCTGTAATGCCAACACTTTGGGAAGCCAAGGTGGGTGGATTACTTAGGTCTGGAGTTTGAGACCACCCTGGCCAACATGGTGAAACCCCGTCTCTACTAAAATACAAAAATTAGCCAGGCGTGGTGGCGGGCGCCTGTAATCCCAGCTAAGGCGGGAGATCGCTTGAACCCAGGAGGCAGAGTTTGCAGTGAGCTAAGATTGCACCACTGCATTCTAGCCTGGGCAACAAGGCAAGACTTGGTCTCAAAAAAATAAATAAATAAATAAATAAATGGAAAGAAAGGAGGGAAAAGACACACACAGAAAGCCTGCTATTAATATATATCTATTAACCTGGTTTACGAATGGTAAAACATAGGTAATTCAATTATTTACATTAATGAATAAGGTAGGTAAACAAACCTAAAAGCATGCCAAATATGAGGCTCATTTCTGTTTTTTTTTTTTTTTTTGAGGCAGAGTCTCGCTCTGTCGCCCAGGCTGGAGTGCAGTGGCCTGATCTCAGCTCACTGCAAGCTCCGCCTCCCGGGTTTACGCCATTCTCCTGCCTCAGCCTCTGGAGTAGCTGGGACTACAGGCACCCGCCACCTCACTCGGCTAGTTTTTTGTATTTCTTAGTAGAGACGGGGTTTCACCATGTTAGCCAGGATGGTCTCGATCTCCTGACCTCGTGATCCGCCCGTCTCGGCCTCCCAAAGTGCTGGGATTACAGGCTTGAGCCACCGCACCCGGCAAGGCTCATTTCTTTTTATCTTCTGAGGTGGCGCTTCGGCACATGCTGCAAATGTAAAAAGGTACATTCCCGGAATTTACTGGCTAAATTGTAGAAAGGAATTAGGATTTACATTCTGCCACAAATAATCCATAAAGCAATTAACAAAACAAATCACATATGAAACACATGTCCAAGTACTCATTTGACAGGAATACTGTGAAAAGAGACGTTTAGGACGAAAAGCAGAAAGGTTTATGCCTAGGAAAGAGTTTCAAGGACGGAGGGAAAAGGAGATGCCAGAAGTGGCCAAGCAGATGAGCAGGAGGGTTGACAAGGCCTAGAGTCCTGACCCCTCCCTCTCCCAAGTCACCCCTTTTTCTCATGTGCTTGATGTGTGACAATGTCAAAGATGTACAAACAGCCAGCCACAATCTTGAGCAAAAAAGGGACTCTCACGGTCCTGTGATAACTGGCAAGTACTCTGACTTCAGGGTTTCTCTAACTAGAAAAAAAAAATCCAAGAAAAAAATGACTTTTAGAAAAATGTATTCTTTCCAATCTATTTCAAGGTGACACAAACTTTGATGTGAAGGAGACCTACTTCTGCTTGATTTAGACAGGAAAATTTCTATTGGTAGAAAAGTCAGAAGGTCTGCTTCAGATCAGAGTTACGTAAATACTTAGAAAAGCGTGATGCTTGAGTAAGAACTCTACTGTTATTAACAGATATTTTGCTATTATCCATCATTAATAACAACGGAAAATTATGCTTGCTTTTTATTTGAGCATTTCAAAAACTAATTCTATCAGCACTTTCAACATCTCCAGGAGAGGTTATTCGGATCCCTAGGGAAATCCTGTCTAACCTAAAGGCTAGGCAGCTCTGAATTATAAGTGGAGTCAGATGGTTTACAAACTCTATGAAATTATATATAAAATTTGGTAAGTTCACATATATTTCAGATTATTGAAGGGCTGTTTAATCGTAAGAACAGTTACCTCTGGCCATGGTTAGAAAATCTAAAACAAGAGAAAGCAATAATGCTTTCCATACATAGTCACAGGGCGAGTCAATGTTAATCTCAGAGAAAGTAACCAGGGACTGCTAAATCCAGGGCTCTATCTAACTAGATCATTCTTCCTGAGGGATCACATATTCAAAAAGCAGGTCCCCAAGGAAAATAAAACCCCACTGCTTATGGGGGAAGAATCACAGACTGAGGGGGAATGAAGCTCATTCTTTATCAACAAGGCCATCATGCTAGTTTTCAAAGGGAATTTGCAAAGCCAATCTTTTGTCCTACAAAAAGATTCATTTCATTCAGCAAAGAAAAGAGACCCCAGAGAGAGTACTGCAGAATCCCAAGCCTCTTCTATAGCCTGTTACCTTGAAGCATATATGCTGTTCTAGAAGAAATCCTTGGGTAGTTCCTTTTAGTTAAGTAGAATGTAAGTCAAGTAAACATCTAATGTGCTAGAAAAAGGTGTAACTAGCCAACTTTTTTAGCCAAGAAAAGGCTATCCCCCACCATTCTCAACTCATTGCCATTCAAGAACCTATCTGAACCCTATTCCCCTATTACAGAGTGTAGAGGCAGGAGTGGTTATCAGATTAATACAGCGTCCGATAAATTGAATGACCTCATACTTCTCCTATTATAAAAAGCACTTGGTGGCACCGTCAGTAGCACCTTCTAAAAGGAGCTGTAAGGCCGGGCACGGTGGTCATGCCTGTAATTCCAGCACTCTGGGAGGCTGAGGCCGGTAGATCACCTAAGGCTGGAAGTTTGAGACCAGCCTGGCCAACATGGTGAAACCCTGTCTCTACTAAAAATACAAAAATTAGCCGGGTATGGTGGCAGACGCCTGTAGTCCCAGCTATTCAGGAGGCTGAGGCAGGAGAACCGCTTTGAACCAGGAGGCGGAGGTTGCAGCGAGCTCGGATCGTGCCAGCGCACTCCCGCCTGGGCAACAGAGTAAGCCTCTGTCTCAAAAATAAATAAATAAATAAAGAAAACAAAAAGGGCTGTAAGAGAGAAGTAGTAACATTCACTTTAATTTCATCTACATCACTAACAGCCCTAAAGAAAGGGAATGTGTAGGAAATAAAGTCAGCAGCTAAAACTTCATTTACATTACCCATAGTGTGGCATCACTCCTAGCATGTCAGGCGTGGCCTCCAGCATACAAACCATTGAATCAGACAACCAAGTACACTGAAGTCTCTCCCATGTGGCATTCCACTCACCATCACTGACATCGCGGGTATCATCATTTTGTCCACCTTTCTTTCTCATCATGTCATCATTTGTTTACTGCTATTACTGCACCAAATCCCATTCTCGGTATCTTCTTACTAGCAAGTTTCTGTACTTGCCAAATCACTAAATATCAAGATAAATAGGCTCTGGAGTTCATATCTTCCTTCCTACTTCCATTTTACTGTTGGCAGAATATTTTCTGTCCCTATCTAGAGTTTCCTTCCCAACCCTTGTTCCTACGCTCAAAGCTTCCAGTTCCCCATTAGCAGTTCCTCATACTACAAACCCCTAAATCCTCACTACCTCTATAAATATCACTGTCCCGTTTTTTGTTTGTTTGTTTTTTGTTTTTTTGAAACAGAGTCTCCCTCTGTCACCCAGGCTGGAGTGCAGTGGTGTAATCTCAGCTCGCTGCAACCACCGCCTCCTAGGTTCAAGCAATCCTCCCACCTCAGCCTCCCGAGTAGCTGGGATTCCAGGCATGAGCCACCACACCCACCCAGTGTCCCTATTTCAATATAATTTCTGGTTCTCCCAACTGAGATCCCGAGTTTCAGCTCTCAGAGCTAGTCACCTCAATTACATTCAGGAAGCCTCCTCCAGTTAGGCCAATCTAATACAGCCTGTTCCCAATTGCATCTTTGTACTTCCAGACAGTTCCCTAGTCAGAGAATCATTACATTTTAGAACCAAAAGAAAACTCAGAAATAATCTGGTCCAATGTTTTTCAAACTTTTAAAGTACATTTTGCTTCTTACCCTTTGAGATGTACAAAATCTATTTTACATCATAATCTCATACACACATAACTCAAACAAATCACATGAAACAATACTTACCCTTGCTATGTAAACACACTGAAAGTTTCTATTCTATTCAACTTTTTAAAAGAAAAGTACAGGTTCAGGCCAGGCACGGTGGCTCACGCCTGTAATCCCAGCACTTTGGGAGGCCGAGGTGGGTGGATCACCTGAGGTCAGGAGTTCAAGACCAGCCTGGCCAACATGGTGACACCCCGTCTCTACTAAAAATACAAAAATTAGCCGGGCGTGGTAGTGGATGCCTGTAATCCCAGCTACTAGGGAGGCTGAGGCAGGAGAATCGCTTGAACCCGGGAGGCGGAGGTTGCGGTGAACCCGAGATCGCGCCCCTGCACTCCAGCCTGGACACCAAGAGCGAAACTGTCTCAAAAACAGAAAAAAGAAAAAGAGTTCCATGCACTAAATTGGTTTCCCAGCTCAGTACTGGGAAGAAACCCGTAGTTTGGGAGACACTGAACTAGTCCAAACTTCCCACTCACTGACGAAGAAACTGGAACTCAGTGGTGAGGTCTGTCCATGAAAATTCACCTCAGGCCTGTCTGTTAATTCCAGACCAGCGTCCTTCCCACCAACGACCTTCTCTGCCCAGTCACAGCCCATCGCGGCCCGTGCCCACACACAACCCTACGGTGGCATCGCCCGCCACTGACCCCACCCTCTTCTCCAAGCCACCGCTCTGAGTCGCAGTCCCCTCGCGGCCGCGGCTCGCGTGGCGGTCAGGGTCCCCCACGGCCACCGCCCATCGATCCCGGCCCCTCGGTCATCGTCCCCTGCAGTCACCGCCTCATACTTCCTCGGTCCAAGCGCCGTCGCGGTCGCGCGTTTCGCATTCCCTCCCCCGGGTCACAGTCCCCCGCTGTCGCCGGCCCTCGGTCACAGTGGCCTCGCAGCCCCCGGTCCCACTCGCCTCGCTGTCACTCACCGCTCTTCCTCCGTCACGGTCGCCCCGCGGTCCCAGCCCCACAGAGTGTCCTCTCGGAGACGCACGGAGAGGCGCACACCCGCGGCTCACGCTCCCCGAGCCCGCTCCGCTCGGATTCCTGCCCCGCGCCGCGTCACGGACTAGGGAAGTTGAGGAGGTTGCGGGGAGACGCCCGGGAAAGGCAGCCGATGGAAGAGCCGGCCGGAAGTCCCGCCTACTTCCCCCACCCGTCAATCCGACCACGACTTCTTGAAAACCGCGACTCCTGACACCGTAGTTCCGCCTCCTCAGAGGCCCCGGGGACGAAGTGACCGAGCAGAAATCCCAGAGACCGGAGACGGAATGGCCCGGGTCAGTCTCCGCCCGGAACCGGAGGATGCAGCGAACACGCCTCCTTGAAGAGGGATACGATGTGAACGGGCACAAGAGCTCGCCGGTCCGTCAAGACGCGCTGCCCGGCGGCTCCCCTGTGGCCCAGCTCGGGCCGTGTCCGCGCAGGCGGGTCTGTGCGCGGAGGTCCTCCCGCCGCACCCCGCACCCCGCACGCCGCACCCCGCACCCGGGCCGCCACCGCGCAGCCCTCCGCGGAGACGCCCCGACCGTGGCCGCCTCGCCGCAGCGTCAGCTGTTACCTGCGTGGGGATGGAAGGGGAATTTCCGACCGCCAGCCCCGTCCGCTGAAAACCTGCGGCTGACCCACCCCCTTCCTTTTTCTGACCCAGGTTGGCTCAAATAATAATAATAATAACAACAAATCCCCAGGGATCCGCTGGGAGCTAGTTGGGCTGGAGTGGGTCAAGACACCTGCCGGGGGGTGTATGGGGGGAAGAAACGTTCTCCTTTGCTAGAATGAACCTTGGGAAGGATCCCTTTTGATCAGTAGATGTAAGTGGCTACACAATGTTATGGAAGAAGGCTGTAAAAAAATTTTTATTTATTTTAATTACCAACTAAACTGAAGTAAAAGACATTTTTAACTTATTTACTTGTTCTTTTACTTTTGTTTTTTTAAAGACGGAGTCTCGCTCTGTCGCCCAGGCTGGTGTGCAGTGGTGTGGTCTCGGCTCACTGCAGCCTCCGCCCCCAGGGTTGAAGGGATTCTCGTGCCTTGTCCCGAGTAGCTGGGATTACAGGCACTTGCCACCACGCCCGGCTGATTTTTGTATTTTTAGTAGAATCGGGGTTTCACCATGTTGGTCAGGCTGGTCTCAAACTCCTGACCTCAAGTGATCTGCCCACCTCGGCCTCCCAAAGTGTTGGGATCACAGGCCACCGCGCCCAGCTAACTTTTTTGTTGTTGTTGCTGCTTTGCTTTTTTGGATTTTTTTTTTTTTTGGGGGGGTCTACATCAAGAATATCCAATCTTTTGGCTTCCCTGGGGCACACTGGTAGGAGAGGAATTGTCTTGGGCCACACATAAAGTAACACTAACAATAGCTGATGAGCTTTAATTTAAAAAATCGCAAAACAAACCTCATGATGTTTTTTAAAAGTTTACAAATGTGTGTTGGGCCGCATGCAAAGCTGGCCTGGGCCGCGGCTTGGACAAGCTTGGTCAACATGCTTAACTTGAAAGTGGCTGAGAAGAAAGAGGATGGGTATAACTGTGCATCTGCTGAGGAGCCTCCAGGGGGAAACAGGATTTAAATCTGAATTTCGAATATGTCTTTGAACATGGTGGATAGACTAAGGTACCCCAAATAAGGACAGTTAGCTGGAGGAGACACCGGGGCCTCTACGGGGAACATCACTACAAAAATAAGAGTTTAGATAGTAACCAACATCAGAATCTCAGAGAGTCCTAAGGGAGGATGAATTTCATACAGAGGACTGATTTCATATGACCCTGACACTGTGGACAAAGAAAATGGATGGGTGTTTAGGCTAATAAGCTATGTAAGACATAGGATGGCAAGAGCTGAGCAAAAACACTGTGTGAGAAAGATGAAGGCAACAATTCAAAATGTAGGAAACAGCAGCCAGGCATGGTGGTTCATGCCTGTACTCCCAGCATATTGGGAGGCCAAAGCAGGAGGATCACTTGAGGCCAGGAGTTCAAGACTAGCCTGGGCAACATGGTGAAACCCTGCCTCTACTAAAAATACAAAATTAGCTGGGCGTGGGGGCACACGCCTATAATCCCAGCTACTCGGGAGGCTGAGGCAGGAGAATCACTTGAACCTGGGAGGCTGAGGTTGCAGGGAGCTGAGATGGCGCCACTGCACTCCAGCCTGGGTGACAGTGAGACTCCATTTCAAAAAATAAATTAATTACTGGCCAGTTGTGGTGGCTCACACCTGTAATCCCAGCACTTGGGGAGGCCAAGGCAGGCGGATTACTTGAGGCCACGAGTTTGAGATCAGGCTGGCCAACATGGCAAAACCCCATCTCTACAAAAAAAAAATACAAAAATTAGGCGGGCGTGGTGGTGCCTGCCTGTAATCCCAGCTACTCAGGAGGCAGGAGAATCTCTTGAACCCAGGAGGCAGAGGTTATAGTGAGCCGAGATCGTACCACTGCACTCCAGCCTGGGCAACAGAGCAAGACTCCGTCTCGATAAATAAATAAAAATAAACATGTTTTAAAACAGCCATGTGTGTTGGCGTGCCTATAGTCCCGGCCACTCGGGAGGCTGACATGGGAGGATCACTTGAGCCTGAGAGTTCAAGGCTGCAGCAAGTTACAGTCCCACCCCTGTGCCCCAGCCTGGGCAACAAAACAAGGCCCATTCTCTGAAAATATAAATAAAGTCAAAAGTTATTTTAAAGAATGTAGGGAAAACTTTATGCACAAATAAAGCCATGTCTTTATTTTTTATAATAGTGAAAAATCAGAAATAAGCAGACTGTCAATAAGGAACTGGCAAAAGTAACAATGGTATAACCTATTGAAATAAATGCCGCTATTAAGTCATGCATCTTAAAATCATAATGCAAATAAAATGACATAAAAATTGTTCATAACATCATGAGAAATGAAAAATGAGGTTACAAAATTATATGTTTTTTTAAAACCTTGGAAATGAAAACCATTGGTAGAAAATATACCAAACTTTTTACCATTGGTTATGTTTGAACAATTGAAGTGGATTTTCCTCTGCTTTTTTCTCTGTGTTCCAAGTGTAACAAGAACACAGTAGGGCCGGGTGCAGTGGCTCACGCCTGTAATCCCAGCACTCTGGGAAGCTGAAGCGGACGGATCATGAGGCCAGGAGTTTGAGACCAGCCTGGCCAATATAGTGAAACCCCGTCTCTAGTAAAAATACAAAAATTAGCTGAGCGTGGTGGCACTTGCCTGTAGTCCCAGCTACTTGGGAGGCTGGGGCAGAAGAATCGCTTGAATGCAAGAGGTGGAGGTTGCAGTGGGCCGAGATTGTGCCACCGCACTCCAGCCTGGGCGACAGAGCGAGACTGTGAAAAGAAAAGAAAAGGAAAGGGAAAGGGAAAGACATAGGATAACAAAATCAAAACATTAAAAATATAAGGCCTAAAACACAACAGATTCAGTTGTCAAACTAGTAACATCTTTATTTTGTCAAGATATTTAACAATATTAAAAAGTGCAGATTTCTTCATGGTCATGTCTTTTCCCAGCTTTTCAAAGATTCACTCAGTAGTAGAAACAGCCAAATGCTGCTACAACGCAGAACAAACTGTCCTAAAAAACAAACACAACACACACACACACACGTCCAGAATGTTAGTACTCAAGAGGGAATGAGAGCGGCACAGGCAATCAAAACTAACACCATCTCAGATCTTTCCAGTTTTTTTTTCTTTTCTGAGACAGGGTGTCCCTCTATCACCCAGGCTGCAGTGCAGTGGTGTGATCTTGGCTCACTGCAGCCTTGACCTCCTGGGCTCAAGCAATCCTAACTCAGCCTTCAGAGTAGCTAGGACCACAGGGGCATGCCACCACATCGGGCTAATTTTGTGTATTTTTTGTAAAGATGAGGTCTCGCTATGTTGCCCAGGCTGGTTTTGAACTCCTGGGATCAAGCAATCCACCCACATTGGTCTCCCAAAGTGCTGGGATCACAGGCATGAGCCACCTCGCCCAGCCACCAATTTTCAATCAGGAAGACTTTTTCCTTCTTCAAGAAGTGAAGGGTTTCTAGAGTATAGCTACGCTATTGCTTGCCTGAGGGTAACTACAAAATTGCTTGCTAAAAGGTTAGGATGGGTAAAGAATTAGATTTTCTGAATGTAGAAATAAAATGTGAACTAATGAACTTTAAGTAATACATATTCATAAAATATTATTCACATATTTCCTGATTTATCGCAGACATAATGTATGAAATGCTTTGAGTTTCTTGGAGTAAACTGATGAGTAAAATTACTCATCCCAAGAAACCATGTTATAAGTACCACTGATAATAAGAACAACAGGACCTTGTCATAAATTCTGGATAAGAGAAAGTCTCTGGGTGTTTGTTCTTAATTGATAAAATTTATTTGTCCATCTTTTAGTTCAGAATCACAAAATGCTTTCCAGAGCCCAAATTGCTTAAAACACTTTTTAGGCACTTCTTACAAGATTTCCACCTGCCTCAGCAATTCCTGAACCACTAACCTCACCTCCAGCCTGGTAATGATGGGGTTAAGACAATTCCAACTCAACTACCTGATGATTAACCAAAAGCAAAATTCTTTGGTTTAGCCCAGCTCCCTGGCTCCTTGGGTGGATAACTCTGAACTGTGTTCTACAACAGTGCTGTGATAAAGGACCTGCTTTGTTTTTAACTTCCAGTCTCTCATGGAAGGATGCTTTTGTAAAATGCAATAAAAATAGTAACTCAGAACATGAAATGGAAAAAAAGAACATACAAAATACAGCCCCAATTTTTTTTCTTAGATTCATTGCACAAAAGATTACTTCGTCAAATTGCTGTAAGATTTTCTACACCAACCCTTATACTCAATGTATGTGCTTACCTCATCATGGACCTGTAACAAACAGGTCACAGAGTGGTGCTGGTTTGTGCACCCCCCGTGAGTGGCCCTGGTGGTGTTGGTTTGTGCACCCCCCTGTGAGTGGCCCTGGTGGTGCTGGTTTGTGCACCCCCCTGTGAGTGGCCCTGTCCTACAGCACCACCCAGAGTTCTCCAACAGGACTGAGCCCTGTTATCCACAGCAGTTTTCTGCTCAATGGCACATGATTTGCCCTCCTCTCTCATTTCCTCTGTCTCTACTAATGTTTCCTGGAATCTCCCAAAAAAAGTGCTTTTTTTTTTTTTTTTTTTTTTTGAGACAGAGTCCTGCTCTGTTGCCCAGGCTGGAGTGCAGTGGTACGATCCTGGCTCACTGCAACCTCCACCCTCTGAGTTCAAGCAATTCTCCTGCCTCAGCCTCCCAAGTAGCTGGGATGACAGGTGCCCGCCACCACGCCCAGCTAGTTTTTATATTTTTAGTAGAGATGGGGTTTCAGCATGTTGGCCAGGCTGGTCTTAAACTCCTGACCTCAGGTGATCCGCCTGCCTCAGCCTCCCAGAGTGCTGGGATTACAGATGTGAGCCACCACATCCGGCCTAAAGTTTTTTATTACATATTGTTCATTTGAATATTAAGTGGCCCCCACTGGATGTTAATAGGCAGAAATCGTGACTGCCTTATTCATCATTATCCCTAGCCCCTCCAGTGCAGAAGCTGACACATAATAGGAACTCAGAACTATTTGCTGAATGAATGAATTGTATCATCTAAAGATGCATTTTTTGGCCGGGCCCGGTGGCTCACGCCTGTAATCCCAGCACTCTGGGAGGCCAAAGCAGGCAGATCACCTGAGGTCAGGAGTTGGAGACCAGCCTGACCAAATAGTGAAACCTTGTCTCTACTAAAAAATACAAAAATTAGCCAAGCATGGTGGCATGCACCGGTAGTCCCAGGTACTCAGGAGGCTGAGGCAGGAGAATTGCTTGAACCTGGGAGGCAGAGGTTGCAGTGAGCCGTGATGGTGCCACCACTCTCCAGCCTGGGTGACAGAGCAAGACTCTATCAAAACAAAGAAACAAACAAAAAAGATGCAGTTTTAACTCCGAGAAGCAAAGAAAAAAAAAATCTCTCTTTTTTTTTTGAGATGGAGTCCCCCTCTGTCTCCGGGCTGGAGTACAGTGGCACAATCTCGGCTCACTGCAACCTCCGCCTCCGGGGTTCAAGCGATTCTCCTGCCTCAGTCTCCTGAGTAGCTGGGATTACAGGCGCCCACTACCACGCTCGGCAAATTTTTATATTTTTAGTAGAGACAGGCTTTCACCATGTTGGCCAAGCTGGTCTCGAACTCCTGACCTCTTTGGCCTCCCAAAGTGCTGGGATTATAGACATGAGCCACTGCACCCGGCCTGAAACCTCCTTTTAAAGATTCCTCTTTATTTTTGCTTAATTTTAATAAATGACTTTAAGATAAAGTAATAAATTTTGTTACTAAAAGAAAAATCACCTTTGCTCATGGAATCCCTGCCATCCAAATTTGTTTGCAACTTAGCAAAGCGTGATTTGTTCGAATGAACAAATAAGTGATTTTAAAGTTTTAGTTATAAATTATTACTTTAATAAGGATTATCAGGATTGAGTTTTAGAACACAGTGATTTATGGAGGCAGTGGCTAAAAATAATTTTAAATAATATGCTAACTAAAGAATATGCTATTCACAAATTCAAACCATGAAAAATTATGTCATACGTAAACATGCAAGTTTCCTTGCCTATAAGCAGCATGCTAGGTTTCGGCTTTAGTAACACAAAAACTAACAGTCAAATCATTTCATCCAGAAGTCAAAGATGAATGACTAAGACTGCAGCGTCTTTCCATCCTAATCAATAGTGAGGAGCTTGACTTGCAGCACCCACGTCCTTAGAAAGGGAAAAGAGGTCTCCAAATACACTTACATTCATGAAAACATCATGAGTATAGTTGTCAGTGTCAGCATCCCAGAAACAGCGAGAAGCCATGCTAAAAAATCCAAGAATGAAGAATTACCAACAATCCAACAAGGACCTAAACGACACATATCTGCCATGAGCAAAAGTGTTCCTTAGTCCACTCTCACAGATCTGTACTTCCAAACCTTTCCCAGGTTGGTGCCCACAGAATACTGTGCTTGTACCAGAGAGTATACTGGGTCAGCTAGAGAAACTGGAGTCAGATGAAGCTGCTTGCGACTAGAGGTGATCAGCCAGGGACTCTGACAGCCTCAGGCCCTGCCTAATGGTTATAAGGATCAATACTAGAGATTTGTGTGTGACTTTTAATGAGCTCAGCTCCTGTACAATAACAGGACAAGGAAGGCACAGAAAGAGCCCAACAGATTTAGTCCAACCTGTTCATTTTATAGAGTCCCAGAAGAAGGAGCAAACTCTGAACTAGAATTCAGTCTCCTATCTAATTATAACTCCAGAAATATCTCTACAGAATGCTAAACTCCCTCGAAACTGGATATTCTCCTCTCTGTAATTCTTGGATAAGAAAAAAATATTAGTCAAAATAAAAGCCAATTAAAAATCGAAACAACAGCCGGGCGCGGTGGCTCAAGCCTGTAATCCTAGCACT